GCGCCACTTTGCGTGTGGACCCCTCTGTGCAGGTTTCCCGGAGCAGCTCAAGAGAGAACCAGAAACAGCGATCCCTCCCCAGATTCGCAGTGGCGCGGCCACCAGCACTTCCGCTTCCGGCGCCCCGCCCCCCCCGCCCGCTCCCGCTTCCGGTCACCTGGATCGTCTCCGCCATTTGCTGTTCCTCCACGGTGAGCTCCAAGGCCAAGGATTCCCCAGCCGAAAAGTACTGGGAGGCGGGGATCATTTTCCCGTCTTCAAATTGCAGATTTCTCACCATCAGCTGTAAAGCAGCAACCAAGTAAGCAGAAAAGCTGAGGACTGGGGTAGAGCGAGAGCGACTGGCGGGTGGCGTCTTGTGCGGGATGCGGGTATAAAGACCAGCTTATCCAGAAAATAGAAAGAATAAGGGTTAAGGGCCGGGAATGTAGCTCAGTGGCTCAGCACATGCCTGGCAGGTGTGAGGCCCTGAGTTCGATTCCCAGTACCAAAAAAATAATAAGGGTTAAAAGTACTCATCGTCATATGTAAAAGGACTGTAACGGCACGTTAGTAGCAGAACAGACACAAGACTAACCACATCACCACCGCAGCACTGCCCCTGGCCATGTGTGCACGTGCTGAAATATCTCATTCCATCTCAGAAATCCCGAGGGGCGTGGGTGTCATTTTACTGATGCAGAATGGAGGCTCACTGAGGTGAAGTGATCTGCCCAATGCCACCAATGTGTGAGGATTAGAGCTGGGAGGTGGACCCAGAACTAGCCTGGTGCTAATGCTGACTATCTTCACTGCTGGGGAACATTGATCTATCTGTGAGCCACACAGTGCTTTCAGCTCTCTTCCAGGGAGGCTGCTCACCAGCAGAGACTGAGCCTGTCCTCCTGAGCTCTGGAACTAAGGCTCCTAGTGAGCCTGTCCGGCGAGGCCCTGGCAGTGGGCAGTTCTGATCTCTCATTCTGCACCAGAGCAGATCCTGCAATTTGAGGCCCATCCTGAGTCACGTCAGGGCATCAGGGACAAAGGCAGCTGTGAGAAATGGGGGTACAGACAGACCTGCACCTCCCTCACCCCAGGGCAAATCCAGAGACACCCTTTCAGCTGGGGTCACAGGGGACCAAGAGTCACTCCATGGGTGACCATGTCAGACACTCACCGCTTTCCCATCACTGCCAAAGAGAACAAGTCCATTCTTGGTAATAAGCCCTGGCTTCTTGGCGCCTTTAATATCCAGGGCTTCCCCGGGAGGCACAGAGCTGTTCAGCAACGAGGAGCCGTAGAAAGTCACCATCTGCAGAGATCAGAGGATGTCACAGTGGAAGGCAAGTTCAGAGGGGTGTGCAGGAGCGGTGTGTGTCATCCCTGCTTCCCCACATGGCCATTTTCAGATTCTCAAAAAGGTGGGTGAGACAAGACGCCTGGCCCTTGTAGCCTGAAGGCAGGGCCTGGGTATTTGTGCAGTGTTGGGGTGTCAGTTGGTAAAGGAATGAGCAGGGCCCAGTACTTTGGGGTCACCTCATGAAAACAGACTATAGCCAAGAGCAGGACATGCTGACTGGCTCATGATTATAATCCCTTGGGCGCCAGCTGGCATTTACTGCACCCTGCCGGTTAACATTTATCCAACACTTACTCTCTGCAGGGACTAGGCACAGATGTGCATTAGCAAGCATTCACCCATTTCATCTTCAAAAGGGCTCATAACCTACAAGGCAGGCAGAGTTATCAATCCTATCTTCTGCAAGGAAGCCAAGGCACCCTGGAGCTTAGTCACCTTCCTAAGGCTCCAGAAAATTGTGGTGGAGCTGTCACAGTCTTTGTGGCTACCCTGAAATTCCTGCCATGGCCATCTGGTGACACATTTTCCTGGTGTCTACTATGCACCAGGACGCCTGCTTCAGTCTGATGGTGAAAGACAATAACACAAAGCCTGCCTTCTATCTAGGACCGTGGGTTAGAGAGACCCTTCCCATACACCGTGCTGAGTCGGGGTGGCTGGCACAGGGAGACATCGGATCCACACTGCTGGGCAAGGAGGCCAGGAACTCCTTGGAGGGCTAAGGACAGAAGGTGCCTGTGCCCAGCCCTGCTGCCTCCTCCCTCCTCAGACCCTCACATCCTCCTCACACTCAGGGTCCGGCTTCCTCAGACCCTCTTGAAAGTCCTTTTACAGGAAGTGCTAGACTCCATCTCTAGGCTGCACCCCTTTCTTTCTCTCCTCCTGGTCCCCTCCTCTCCAAGTTCTGGAAATGTAGCTAGTCCTGCCAGGAACCATTCCCCACACGGGCTGGAGCCTCAGATTTGGCAATTTACGGCACTGTCTGGGTTCATTCCCTTGTATCTCTGCTTTCCCCATTGGACTGGTACCAGGGCTTTGCCTGGTGTCAGCTTCCCAGCAAACATCCAACCCATGCTGCATGCCAAGGAGAGGAGCCCCAGCCCCCATCCAGGCGAAATCTTTGTAATAACACCCGCTCTGAAGGAGTACGGCCCCCAGGACCTACCTGTCCATTTATCTCAGCCCAGGCTCCAGGGACTTTATCGTGACCTCGGATCCAGTTATGTAAAACTTCAGCAGTCTGATCCCAGCGAATCTAGGACAGCACAAACACAGGCCCTGAGTCCCCAAGGCCATGGCCACCTTTTGGGCCATGAGTGCAGAAGTTGGAGGCATGGGCAGGTTGGCTCAGGCGCCGACCTTCTAGCTAGGAAATAGTAGATCCGGAAGAAAGGAAGAGGGCCACAGGCTTGGAGAAGACTCACGGAGTAGATGTGAATACCTCAGCATTTTCCTTTCTCTGGATACCTTCATATGTTGCCCCTTCTTCTGGCTGGGGGATACGAGGAGCGTTCCCATCTGCTATGAGTTGCACAGCTTCCACCTAAGCCAAGGACAGAACCTATGTCAGCCCAGTTCTTCACTTGGCCTGGACTGTTGGTGCTTAACCAAATTATTTCACCACTGCCTAGAGCAGTGGTGGCGGCAACATGTCGCAGCAGCCCATCTCTTAGTACCAAAAGCTCTAAACGTTTCATCATCATTGGCCTAGATGTCAGGCTGTCACGATAACTGTTATTTTGTCAGGTCTGCCCAAGTGTCAAGCCCAGAAAGCGTGGTGGCCATTTCATGTGAAATATCCCTCACAGCTGGGTGTGGTGGTACACACCTATAATCCGAGAATTTGGGAGGCTGAGACAGGAGGATCACTGTGAATTTGAGGCCAGCCTGGGATACATAGTGAGACCGTCTCAAAAACAAAGACAAACGTGCTTTGCAAGCATCACATGAGTCCCACAGGGTGGATATTATCACTCGTGTTTTTCAGATGAGGAAACTGTGGTTTAAGGAACAGTTAAGTGAATATCTCCAGATCACGGAGGCAGCTTGGGCATCAGAAGGACACGCACCCAGATGCATGTCTACCGCAGTCTCAGGGCTGCACCCACAAATGACTCCCTTGTCGGGCCAGGCTGCATGCTTAGTACATGCCAGACCCCCCACACGAAAAGACTCTCGGAATTAACCAACACCAGGCCTCCTTGGTGATTCCCTGGAAATCGTGAGTGTGTATATAAAAGAAGCCATCGTGGATTACTGTACCAATTGCGATGATTCTAGAACACAGTGTGTTACTGTATTTCTCAGCTCAACTTGCTTTCTAGCTTAGGACACTTTAAAAGGTTAAAGTGGAAATTAGTGTGGAGATTCCTCAAAAAACTAAGACCAGGAATTCCATTTGACCCAGCTATTCCCCTTATGAGTATCTTCCAGGAAGAGTTAAAGACATCAGATTGCAGTGATCTAGTCACACCCGTGTTTCTTGCAGCACAATTCATAAGAGCTAAATCTTGGAAGCAGCTTATATGTCCATCAATGAATGGATGGCTATAGAAAATGTGGTGTCGCACACAGCACTGTTCTGCACTTGACTCATTTGTAGGGAAATGGACGCGCCTGGAATCAATCAGACGCGCAAGTTTAAATGTCTCAGGGTTTCTCTTATATGAGAAACCCAAAGTTTAAAAGCAAAAGAAAAGGTAGATAATAGGAAATAGGGGAATAGATCTTTCTCAAAGGGAAGGGGATTGAGAGATGGAAAGTAGAAGGAAGTGATGAAAAGGAATAAGATGTGTTGTGCACATGCACCAACTCCACACAAGGAATGCAAACTGACTAATAAAAATAAATTTTCGAAAAAGGTTGGAATCTATCCATGGCCTGGATGCCTTTAGGACATGTCTTGTACTCTTTTATGCCATGTGTCTGTCTGCCTTATAGTAAGAGCTGTCCTTTCACTGGTGCTATGTAAGCTCACGTCCTAGATCTCCCTGTCTCAGGATTCATAGCTGATGAGCAACCTGCCCAGGAATATGTGGCAGGAACCCCTTGGCCACAGGGCCATGTGCAGCTCACTCTGCACCTTGCTCTGTAAGCCAGCAGGCAGGGTCCAGACCATGCAAATGCCACACATCACGCCATCTCGAGTATCATGATCTGTTTTGAGCACTTGCTCTGTGCCAGATGCTTGCCACAGATGACGTCATTTAATTTTCACAACAATCCTACAAGTCAGGCAGTATTATCCACATTTTATAAACGAGGGAACGCATGCTGAAGAGGCGGTGTGACTTGCCTAGGGTCATATAACAATGTGTCACTCTACAAGTGGTCAAATGTGAAGTTGAAGGTCAGTCTTTCTGACACCAAAGCCCTACTGTCTTCATCATTAAGTGACACAAATAGCGTTGTTCTCTTCCTTCCTAAATTAACAGTGACTATATAATCTTGCAGCTTCTACTACCAAACTCTGCACAAAAAGGAGGTGGGGCATGCTTGGAGGAAACATCACTGGGGGCATGCCCTAGAAGGAATACTGGGACGACGACTACTACTGTTACTGCTACTTCTCCTCTGCTTCTCCTTCTGCTTCTCCTCCCCCTCGTTCTCCTTCCTCCTTCTCCTCCTCTTCCTCCTCCTCTTCTTCTCTCTCTCTCTCTCCCTTCCCCCTTCCTCCCCCTTCCTCTCCCTCTCACTCTTCCTCTTTCCCTCTCTTCTTCCTTTCTCTCTCTCTCACTCCCTTCCTCCCTTCCTCCCCACTTCTGGGTCACCATGAGGTGAGCAGCTCTACTTTCCCAAACCCTACCTACCTACCATGATGTTCTGCCTCACCATAGCAATTATGGACTGAAACCTCAGAAACCGTGAGCCAAAATAAATCTTTTATTATTTTATCTTGCTTCTTTCAGGTGTCTTGTCCCAGCAACAGAAATCTAACTATTCAGTCACTTTCTTTGTCACTGAGACAAAATACCTGACCCCTACAACTAAATAGAAAAATTTATGTTGGCTCCTGTTTATAATCCATTGTTGGCTATATCCAAAGCAGCCTCCCCCATGGGAAGGGCCTGGAGGAGGAAAAGTTTCTCAGCTCATGGTGGACAGGAAGTAATGCACCCAGTGATGCAGCTTTTCTGACCAGACCTGGCCTCCTAACAGCAGGTCCGTTGTGAACACCCATACTTAAATCACCTTCCAGAAGCCCTGCTTCTGAGTGCGTGGGGTCGTAGGGGATATTTCGATAGAAACCATAACACTAACACAGAAGTCTAAATTACATAGCAAAATTTAAGATTCTTTGTACAATTAGTCATTATTCACAAGGTTGAAGATTCAAGCATTTGGCCAAAGAAATGGAGCAGTTTAATTGCTATTTCATCCATTTCATCACTGCTCTAAGGGGAACAAGTCAGCGTCATACACTAACAAATTTTAAAGTTCCAATTTCTACCTTAACTGTGCCACCACATTTCTAAATATGAAATACACTTTGGCTTTGTATTTTTAATGAAAATTCATATGACAAATTTTAATTAAAAATATTCCTAAAACTTTAAAGATTTACTAAATTCTTCTGGATGGTATAAATATACTGACCATGGCCTTGATTCCTTCAGGAAAGAGGAATCGATTATAAAGCATGTCCACTGTGTCATTGGGCTTCACATCACATGACCGCTGAAGAAGAATGGGCCCTGTGTCCAAACCATCATCAGCCCAGAAAATAGAAAACCCAGCTTTCTTATCTCCCATAATCAGAGTCCTGTGAAAAAAAGAGTTTCAACATCTGATGTTGGTTAAGCAAATCATCGGATGAAAAATTAGTGACATTAAAGGACAAGGTAGTTACAGTGGAAAAGAAGACTGGGAACAAAGTGATCTTGAAAATTGAACAGTAGAGCTAGGAAATGTCAGAACTCATAGAAAGCAATACCTAATGGCATTGATGTTTTATTCTCATTTGTCATACAGTAATAACATAATGAATTCAGAAGGCTCTAGAATCCATCCCCACTACCAGTCATCAACTCCCATATCTCAGCTCCCTACTTCAGGGTCAAGAAATCTTCCCACCTGGTTCCAATTCCTGCATTGTAACTGAACTTGTATTAGGTAGGATAAGAATGGAAAATAAAATAAAACAAGCTACTCAGTGCAATATGCAGGGGAGAAATGATTATTAATTTAGGTTTTATAATTGAGGTATAAATTTCACTTAGGACTAGAATCAGCTCAAGACTTGTCTGCATAAATTACAGTAACAGTGGGTTGCTCAATGCAACTATTTGCCTTTTGTGCTCTGTAAAGTTTAGCCTAAGAGAAAAACTTAGCTTTGCCCTACAGGACCATATAATGCAGAGAACATGCTGGTAAGTGGAGAGATGCCTATAACATATATCAGGGAGCAGGTCAACATAGAGTGTGAAATAGTAGGTCAGCAATTTCTGTGATCAGAATCACTTTCACTTTTCCAAATGATGGACTGAAAAAGACCTAAGTCAATCATTTATTAAATCACTCTTTTCAGAAATATTGAGAAATTATATTATCAAGAGTCTTGAACTTAATTTTTTAAAGAAAAGTCTTGAAAATATTTACCTGCTTTGACTCAATGATTCTGCATTTGGAAATAATGTAAAATGAGAAAAAAAATACAAATTTAAGTCCAGAAATACCCACTGAAGTTTTAGCTACAAGAGCAAAAAAGAAAGAAATTCATGTAATCAAATTTTCGATGTGACAAAATATTTTTCATCACATTTAAACCAAGAGTAGGTCCTGTCCTTTTGCAACAGTTTGACCCTCAGGGACACAGAGAAGACAAAGGTGAGGAGGTTAAAAAGTGCACATCAACAACAGCATTGCACCCATGCAAATAGACACTTAGAGGGCTTCGGGCAGTGCTCCTGAAACAGCCATAAAATGTTAGACAAAGCCCTTCCTTAAGAAGCCTGAGGTCAAATGAGGACTAAGATGACAGTGAAGAAGATAATTCAGGCAGCTCAGAATTTCCTGAAATGAACTTGAGATCCTTTGTGCAAAACATGTTTTGTGGTCAGGTAAATCTGAGAACACAGAGCACTCAGATTCTGTCTTGGAAGTTATGATGCTCAGGTGAAGGCACATGTTAAAAACCGGAGAAGTCCTGCAATTAGGGAATAAAGTATGAGCCAAACTTATCTGACCAGAGAACTTCTGTTGGCTGAATACCTAGTTTCACTCCCTGAACTGATTCCCTGTAGCCAGTCCTCAGGAAACGCTGTCCTGACTCCTGCAATTGGTGTAGATCTCGAGGGTTGATGCAGCTGAAGCAATCAACCAAGACCTCACGTAACTAGTTTACTAGTCATACAGGTGAAATCAGTCCACTGGCAACAGAAACAAATGCATAGTGTCCATTGCTGGAAAACACCCACCAGTTGATGGCAGATGCACCCCGGTGCCTGGGCAGGAGGGACGGATGGTAGATGATGGAGCCGTGCTTCGGGCTGTCAATGATGTCCATGGGGATGAACTGTGTGCAGAAGGGAAGCACATTCAACTCCGCCCCTACAGCTCTGTAGGCCTCCGCCACCTCCTGGACAGTCTTGCCCTTGACTCTCCATCTGGGGAACTTGAACACAGGTGTTCCATCCTTCTGTGCAGCCAAAGCTGAGGGGGATAAACAAGATTGTTTCCATCTTTAAAAAGTGAGTCCTCATTTTATTCAGTCATATCTTGGACTGAGCTGCGTTCCAACTCATTAAATTTGGTTCTCCATGCATTTTGCTGTGAAAATTTGTCCCGTTACTCATTTGTTTGGTACTCAGTGCAAGCTAGAACTCGTCAATTGCCTGGAAATCGATACCCTCTCCAGCCAAAACAATTGCTTTGGAACTCCTGGATTCTCCAGGGGCCGATTAGTGACAAATACTGAGGTACCACTACATCATTACTGATTTGCCCATTGTACTTCAGTTTTCTGAAATATTTACAAATAAAACATGGTGAAAAACAATTCAAATTGTGATCAGAACTTGCTGTATTATAATTAAGTCATGTGCCCCACCCACCTTTCTAATGTGATATTTATCTATACATTGTTATGGCTGGTATTTAGATGTCCTCCCAAACCCCTAAGTGGAGCTTTTCACAGCTGGCTGGATCTAGAGTGTGTAGTGCTGGGATAAAGGTGTGTGATTACTAAATTAGTCTACTAATTGATTTGTGGTAGTTCTCAGTGTGAGTGCTACCTGCCCTAAAGGCAAGTAGCCTAGACAGAATATAAATAGTTGAAAAGAAGCTGCTATTGCCACTTGTTGCTTGTAGCTTGCTGCCTTCTGCCCACCATGAACTATTTCTCTTCTGTGATGCCACTCTGCCCTGGAGCCAGCCAACTATGAACCGAAACCTCTACAAACTACGAACTAAAACCTTTTCTTCTTTAACTTTGGGTGTTGGATATTCTGTTCTAGCAACAAGAAAAGTAACTAAGACAACATTGAAGTATATATATATATATTTTTTTTTTTGAGACATTGTCTCACTATGTTGTTCAGGCTGGCCTTGAACTTGCCATGTAGCCCAAGCTGACCTTACATCTGCAATCCTCCTGCCTCAATCTCTCAACTGCTGGGATTACAGGCATGTGCCACTTCTACCAGTTTACTATATGTTGAAAATAGATTTGACTCAAACTCCTGTGGCTAGATAATATTTTGAGATTTTAACAGCATTTTCTTTTTAGATTAAAAATGGTATTCTTAGGGCTGGGGATGTAACTCAGTGGTAGAGTGCTTGCCTAGCAAGAGTGTTGGTTTCAACCCCGGCATCATATGAAAGAAAACCAGATACCCTAAGTCCTGGTACAAAACTTTAAACAGTGTGGCTTTAGATGTGAAGCAAATAGCAACACTTCACCCCAAATTAAATGTTCTCAGCCTCCAGCATGGTTGGAAACCCTTAGATGGACACATTCTTCATGCTAGTGGTAGATACCAAAGAGCTGAGCTTGTCCACCTTCCAAATTCACCAGAAGATAAAGGTTAGCAATGAGAGAGGCTGGAAGTGGAGAATGAACACACAGCTGGCTCTCTGTAAAGGTCTGTCAGACAGAAGCACTATAGGTCTCCCCCCTGAGGGAAGCACAGCCCCACCAGACAAGGGACTCTGTCCTGACCCTTCGAGAACAGAATGGCTTCGAGGGACAGAGCACAGCCCATCTTCCACATGAGAAGATGTCACTCTACTGCGTCCTGCGCACACTCAGTATGTGTATTCATTTAAGTACATACAAGGTATGAGAAAAAATACAGTGAATACTTAACATTTTATTTTTAATTTATTACGGCCAAAGACGCATTGCCATGAATCCCCCACACTTCTAACGCACTTATCCCGGTGTTCCTGCCACTCGGAAGCAGTTCTGGAAGCCCTCTTTCATGTCTCTTCATGGCTGCCTCAACCTCCTGAGCGGATTCAGAATGTTTTATGGCAATTGCTGTCAAGTACAGATATGACAGTGTCCTCGCCTGCCGTATTCCTGGGACCTGAAACCGCATTCTTCTGCCTTTTCCCCGTGGTTAAAGTGGGCACGAAAGGCGAAAGCGTGGAAGCCATGCAGGACATCGAGGCAGCTGGGACAGTGCAGCTGAGAAACACTCAGGAGAGAGGACTTCAGAGCCGCTGCAGAGAGGCAGGGGTGATGAGAGTGCTCAGGGCCAACAGTAAATAACATTTTGAGGGGCCTTCATGTCCATGTGTATTGTAATAATTACTTTTATTTTAAACATTCGCCATATTTTATCATACTTGTATTTATAGATGTAGCATATATGAATATTATATTTTAATACTATCATTTATTGATATAAACCATTATATTGGTAGATGCTATTATATATAAACATAATACATATAAATATTTGATACTATATTAAATATACCATATTCATATAGCTACTAAATATATATTTTCATAGTAAATACATTTTTATGTGTACTATCACATATTATACAGTATATGTACTATCTGTGGGCCATGTACAGCAACCTGGTTTTAATTGCCTGTGACAAGGCTGATTCAGAAGGGCAGGGCCCATCCCCTGGGTCCGGCGTGGACTGGAGGCGAGGGAGGACCTCGGTGGGCCTTCCTGCCGGGCCGGACGCTTGTGGGCAAAGGCTGAGGGCCCAGCCAGGCCGCGGCAGGATGACGCGCGGCTGAGTGCGGGATGGGGACGGGCGTGTTCTAGGAGGCTCAGTGGCCCTGAGCGCCAGCAGCCTGCGCAGTGTGAGGCGGCTGCGGCAGGATGACGCGCGGCTGAGTGCGGGATGGGGACGGGCGTGTTCTAGGAGGCTCAGTGGCCCTGAGCGCCAGCAGCCTGCGCAGTGTGAGGCGGCCTGCGCGGCCCCCGAGGTAGGGCAGGGTCTGGAAGAACCAGCAGTAGCACCGGTATTGCGCAGAGGCTGAAGCGGGGGAAAGGGTCTGACCGGGTGTGAGGGCCTGGGGGACCCTCCTGACAGGCAGTGATGGTGCCTTCTTCATCCTGCCCACCTGCCGAGGGCAAGCAGCAAGAGCAGGGTGAGCTGGGCAGCCAGCAGTGGCAGGCGGAAGGCGGGAAGCAGGAAGACGCTCCCAGGAGGAAGTGCCAGCGTGCGGTCCACCGGAAAGAGCGGACCAGCGGGCAGACCGGCTCCACTGAAGGACAGCAGAGGCCCAGCTCGCGGAGGGCACCATGGAGGCCGAACTGTGTGAGGAGAAGGAACAAGAACTGGGGGTGCACAGCAGCACGTTCCCCTCCACAGAGACCCCGGGCTGAAAGCGGCTGCCCCGGCCCTGGTGCCAGGCAGAAAGAGGCTGATGCCATGGCCACGGGACCGCTGATGGGCCGCAGCACGAAGATGGAGTGGGCTCGGGAAGAGGCGCAGCGTGCGAAGACAACGGCGAAAGGGGTACCTGAAGGCTGGTGGCAAGTCAAGAAAACAAGCAGCAGGGCGGCCGGGCAGCGCACAGCGAAGATGCCCCGGGCCGTGCAAATGTCGGTGCCCTGCAGGGCATGTTCGGCCCCCTGAAGAGGGACACCAGGCCGGTGGGGAGGACAAGTGCTGCCGTGTTGCCCTGCAGCTGTGTGTAGCTGTGTGTGCCACTAACGACGCCTTCCACGCAGTCGCTGTCTGCGTGTGCCACCGTGGGAATGGCCCAGGTTACGCCCAACCCCGCCTTGGCAGAGGCAGGAGGGTTCCAGCATTGGGTATCGTGGCTCCCACAGCAGCGGGCGTGCTCTCCGCCATCTGGACAGTGTCCTTCCCCAGTAACGCTCATCAGAACTTTACACCTGCACTTTCTGGTCCCCTTTGCCTGCTCTCCCATCCAGTCATCAGCATTCATGGACTCAGGACGAGTGATTCCTCTGCCACTTAGAACCTAAGTTCTGCAGCACATGTAAGTCCTGAAGGCCTCTGGCCCCCAGGGTCAGGACCTGACCAATGCACTGAGGAGAACTGCAGACACAGACATAATCGCATTCACAAAATGCAAATGTTCACAGATGTCCGGGAAACGTAACGCGTATCGTATGACAGGAAAACGTATCCACGGTGGTTAAGATGTGGCAATGGGAGAAGACTGCGGAAGGTTTCATGGGAAAGGGAGGTGCAGGGTGGAGGAGACAGGTGGCTCCGTGTGTAAAACCCTTCTGTGACAGGCTGGAGGGCAGTGCGTTCCTCTCCCGTTTTGGTGTCCAGCTGTCCTGGGCTATTTCTGGCTCCCCGGCCTGCGATCCTGACTAGCAGTCAGCCACTGTCACCCTGGCTGTCGTGGGCCCACACAGCGCCAGGGCCCCATGTGCTCTGAGCCGCTCCCTCCCCACGGCAGCCACTGGGCCAGGCTCCTCAGAACCGATGTGGGGCCGAAGTGCCCGGCTCAGAGCTCCAGGGAGCCGAGTCAGGATCTGTCCTCGGCTGCAGAACACGCCATGTGCCAGCCCCTGCCAGCCAAGTCGGAAGCCAGCTCGCTTCTTTCCCTCTGCCGGGCTAGGTGAGGAGTCCAGGTGGCCCAGACCAGCGGAGAGCGGGGTCCAGAGCCTGGGTGCAGGACCAAGGACCTGTTCATTTCCCAGGAGGCATGCTAAAGTGAGGTCTGAAAGTCACATGCTTGCTATTCTGAAATCCATGTTCACGGCCGAGACCACCAGCGGTCATCCCTTTGTCTTCTAGCAAAGGCTTCCCCTAGTTTAGCCACCCCCAATAAAATGTCTCTTTCTCAGCCTCTCCTGCAAATAGGTGGCTATGAGTGGCAACAATATGTGTAATATGTACAAGTAAAGAGCTTTCCTTTTACTTCCCTCTTCTCTACCCTGCTTGTTGGGATGCAGACCTAACTGCTGGGGCTGAGGCAGCCACCTTGGGCCATGAGATGGAAGCCCTGTCTAGACAACAGCAAAATCACAGATAAAGGGCCTGCACATTGTGAGGAAATAAACAGCGGCCACGTCAGTTCTGGCGTGGAAGTGCACTCACCCAGGGGGTCAGCCCTTCCGTCCTTATCTGGAACCGTGAACACCCCCACGACTCGGTGTCCTTCTTTGCGCAGGTGGCTGTAAACTTCCTGTCCAAAGAGACTCTGGCCGATGAGGGCCAACTTCAGCTTGTTTTTGAAGTAAACCTGGGAAAACATTCAATGGTGTCGCATAAATATGGACAGAAGACACCGGATAACTAACAAGCTCTACAATCAGATGACTTGGGTTACAAAAGGCTCCAAGAGCTACAAAATAAAACTGTTCTGGACACAGCCCGCAGCGCACACATGCCGTAACAGAAGTAACCTGGTCCCTAAGAATCGCCCGTTCTCTGCCCCCAGGTCCTTGGTTACCCCTTTAATCCCTGGAATTGCAGCCCAACCCTTTGGGGAATACAAACCAGTCAGTGCCAGAGTGAGGACCAGCCTCAGTCTGATGGAGCTTTTCACCTCCGCTATGTAGAAATTAGAACAAGACTCAGCTCTGACTTCCAGAAGGAGCCGCAGTAGCGTATTCGGGCCTAGAGCTGGCACCTAAGGCCAAAACCCAGGGCCACAGCTGAGTCAGTGGCCGAAGCAAGTATTGAGTGCTGCTCGCTCGCCTTTCCCCTGTTTCATAAAACAGGAATAATAATATCGACCTGAAAGGATTTTGATTGCAGTTAATGACTTAATAAGACAGTAAGATTGCCCGGTATGTGATGAATAGTAATGCTTAAATAGAAGCTTTATACATTTTAAAGGTCTTGCTATACGTTAGACTCTGTTCTACACTTTTAAAAATCTAAAGCCTAGACTTCAAATACCTTTTGGTACCTCGCTTGACCTAATATAGCCCTCTTAGAGGTTTCTTCTAAATCTGTCACAAACTGCCTGTCATGGTGGCACAAGCCTGTAATCCCAGCACTGGAGAGGCTGAGGCAGGAGGATCATCTGGAGTTGAGGCCAGAGTGGGCTGCAGAGAGAGTTCAAGGCAAGCCTGAACTGCATGAGACCCTATCTCAAAAAACACAAAGCAAAACAAAACAAATTTGGTACCAGCTTATTTGGCTTCAAATGTGATCCAAAGTGACAGGGTGCTGTTTATATGTATTTATGATGAAGACTGGGGGATAGTGCTGTTTGCTGCAGCAAAGGTCAGTGCTACAGGTACTTCTCCACGGCATGCTAGGAATTTTACACAAAGTGCTATCCGTGTGTATTAATTCTCTTTCCAAAATGTAAATAATTCTGAACACATTGTAAATAATTCTGTAGCACATTTGGCCTCAAATTTTTCAGATGAGGTATAGAGGCCTGAGTATCATTTCATTTTGTAGAATCATCACAACTGTGCTGTTTCCTTTTCCTGTATTTGACCCAACTTATGGTGAAAGAAATCGAGATTTAGAAATGTCAAGTGCATGTCCACCATCCTGTGCCTAGAAAGGAAGAAAGCCTGAAATTTGAATCAGGTTTCGCCTCACTGGGAACTTAAAGACAATTAAAATGAATCGTCAGCAGCCCCCTCTTCCGTGTTCTTTGTGATTAACATAGACACACACAATTGCATTCAGGAAACAGAAACACCACAGATAAGAGAGATGCTGTAGGCGCTAAAGTTTAGAGGATTTTTTGTTTGCTTTTGTTTATTGTTTTTTGAGACAAGGTCTCACTGTGGAGCCCAGGCTGGCCTTGAACTCGAAGTGGTCCTCCTGTCTCAGCCTCCTGAGTGCTGGGACGACAGGCATGCACACCACGGCCAACAGACAAATGTGTTTGGTCACCGTGGACCTGGGGACTGTGAGGCATGACGGGAAGCAGGCACAGGGTCATGGGTGTGGGAGGGTCATCAAAGCACTACAGCTGTGTCTTCCTCTTTGGTCAGTGCTCAGCCTGGCTCTGGGGACTCCCTCTGCCTTCACTCTTCCAGTGTAGAATGTAGCTCCTCAGGATACGGACGTAAGCTGTGTTTCGTTCCATTGCAGTCTGCATGGGATTCTAGAATGTTCTGGAATGACCGAACCCTGCCTGTGACAACCTGGCAAGAAAGAAACTTAATTTCCCACATTTCTCACTTTATTAAGGGCCTGGATAACATCCCTTAAAAGGATACAAAATTGCAACTTCTCTTCAATGGAGCTGATAATTAAACAATTAGGGTTTCAGTTTTACAAGTTGGTTTCCACTTAGCCAAGGTCTTTCTCCCCAAAGAGCCAATGAAGTGTCAATGTCTAACAATACTCTCCAGCAAACAGCAAACCATTTCAGATAGTGCACAGCACACCACACCTGTGAATCTCCTCCCTTCAGAAGTCAGAATGCCCCAGGCTGGAGATTCAGCTCAGTGGTCCAACCACCCGCCTGGCAAGCACAAGATCCTGAGTTCAATCTCCGGTACCAAAGAACAACAACAACAAAAACAGAATGCCCCAGGAACCTTCCCTCTCCATGCCTCGGAGTTCATGCTGCTGCTTAAAACATTCTGCATGCTGGCCATCCTACAAAAAGCCTGGCTTTGTCCATTCCGCTGCTGGATATTTGTACACCCATGAAATTCTCTTTCAAAACGCGGACAAGCCCAGAGAAGGAGCCGACTCTGGGAGAATGCGCTTCCCCACTGCTACCTGGCCTTCTGGGGTGCAGCTCAATCTTGGAAGCGGCCTCTATGTCCATCAGTAGATGAATGGATACAGAAAATGTGGTGGATACACACAGTGGAGTGCTACTCTGCCATAAAGAAGGATAAACGAGTCATTTGTAGGAAAATGGATGCACCTTGAGACCATAGTATTAAATGAAGTAAATCAGACACACCAGCTTAAATAACGTACGCTTTCTCTCATCTGAGAAACTCAAAGTATACATAATTTAAAGGGCAAAAAAGAATGATAGACAATAAGAAGTAGGGAGACAGATCTTTTACAAATGGGAAAGGGATCAAGAGACGGAGGAAGCAGCGAGGGAGGAACAGGAGAGTCGGGGCAGAGGACGAAGGAAGAATTGAGGGTGGCGAGACACGTGCCCCCCACCCCGTGATCACTGTGTGTGAGAGAAAGGAGCCATGTGAGCAACTCTGAAAATTCTCCGTGCCTTCAAAGTCTTTCTGGGCTTCACTCTACTGCCAGGGCTTCCGGGAGTTTCTGTTTTCCTTTTCTTTCCTAGGAGGCGCAGAACCCCATATGGAAACAACAGCAAGCATTGCCCAGTATTTCATGCAGCGCCACAGGCCACTGCCCTGAGCCTGGACCCTGGAGCTGAGCAGCTGCCCAGGGCCCGGCCGTCCATCCGCCCCATCTGGAGCAGGGCTTCACTCTCCCACGTTAAGATCACGGTATCACAGCGCCCGTCCAGGCCGGGGTGAAGGAGAGGCCTGGGAGTGTCCTTCGGGGCTGCGCGCGGCCGTTCTCAGTACAGCACACAAGCCTGTCCTCGTGCATCGGGAGTGCACGTCGGCTGCACAGAACTCTGACCTCGCGGGCGTGCGGAGCACATGCGGAGCAGTCCCGTCTTCCCATCATCCCCTGCCCTTCCCTCAGCCCACCTCGCATACACGAGAAAACATGCGATATTTGACTGCTTTTCTTTCTGTTTTGCTTCCTTCCTTTCTTTCATCCTTCCTCCCTTCTTTCCTTTCCAGTACTGGGGATTGAACCACTGGACCCAAGGCCTTTACACTGTGCCCTTTTTTAAGACAGGGTCTCATACTGAATTGCCCTGGCCAAGCTCAAACTGTGATTCTCCTGCCTCAGCCTCCCCCTACAACTATAGTACTGACTTTCTGAATCCTTTTAATAATTCAGAAAATGTATTAAATGTTCATTATGTCTCTAATTCTCACAGTGATCCTTTTTACAAACGAGAAAACAGTAAGTAACTTGCCGAGGACAGCTAGCCAGGGGTGGGATCAACTCTTTTATTAAGAGATGGGGTCTCCCTATGTTGCTCATGCCGGCTCCAAGCTCCTGGACTCAGACAACCTTCTTGCCTCAGCCTCCTGAGTAGCTGGGACTCCTGGCACATGTGTTGAGAAGGAAGGCATCCAAATCCATGGACGCCTGTGTTTCTACAGACACAACCTTCTGCAGGCACCAGAGCTTTTGCTCTGATTTTGTGTCCCTGGCTAGCTGCCCCTCGTGGAACCCTTCAGGAAACAAACGAGTGTGGACTCTGCTTCAAGTACTGAGAAACCTGGCAGTACCTCGTTTCCCCAGGACAGCTACAGGCCTGAAGTCTGCCCTGCTGTGAAGCTCTTTTATGATGCAGATGTCACACTAAGACAACCACGTGGGCTCTGTTAGCCTGGGCCACTGCAGCAGTGCATGCCCATAATCCTAGTGCTCTGGGAGGCTGAGACAGGAAGATCACTAGTTTGTGTCCTGCCTTGGCAATGTGGGGAGGCCCTGCCTCAAAATTAAACAACGGCTGGGGATACAGCTCAGTGGGAAGGCTTGGGGTTCAGTTCTCAGGATCGCTACCCCTCTCCCCTCAAGCAGGCTCAATTTCTGAGTTCTTGAAAAATCAGGTCTGTGGCTTCCCACACAGCAGCACAAAGTGGGGCTGAGCGGTGGCCTGGTCTTTGCTCGGCCCAGCCTCCACCCCACCTGTCCCTCTCCGCTGTCCTCTGCAGGCACTGCCCTTGGGAATCCCACACCGGAAGGATGATGTGAGCGGTTCCTGTCCCCTGGCATTTGGTGCTTCTTCAGGAGTGAGATTAACGACCCTGCGCTGGGCCAGCTGGGCATGGGGCAGCTGGGCAGGGAAGGGCTTGCCTGGGAGCCGACCAGAAAGAGGGAAGGGATGCCGGAAAGCCTTGGGAAGCTGCGGAAACGGACAGGTGGCACCGTGTGTCCAGGCCCAGAACTCTAGGGAGAGGCCTCGTGCAGGGCCCGCTCTGTGTCAGATAACTGGGATCTTACTGTGATGCCAGGGGGCGTCACCGAGCCACTCGGTGCAGATACAGATACCAGCTGGGGCTGGGTTCTGTGAGCACCCTGGAGCTGTTCAGCCCCGAATACCTCCAGGCAGGCAGCCTGCCGTGTCTGTCAGCTGAGCTGCCAGTGTGGGATCACAGGCTGACTCACTGGCCTCCAGGGTGCTCCTGGGATCAGCCCTGGTGGAATAAAAGCCACGCCATCCAGTAGGACGGACTCAGATCCTCACAGCCAGAAGCAACAAGCTGCACTTCGCATCCAGGCGGATCTGTGCAAGACTCAGCAACGGGCCCAGCCGGTTGCATCATCCCAGAGAGGGGCAGTGTGGTTTTCTTGGCTTCCAGGCCAGCTTTTCTATCCAGTGCTGGGGACTGGAGCCTGGGCCTCACGTGTTGCAGGAGATGCTCCCACTGAGCTACAGCCAAGCCCCAATAACTTTCTTCATCATATAAATGATAAAAGATACTTAAAAGATGGTGTCAATATAGGGACCTATTAGCAGGTGAGGAGGGAAAGGGGCTTGGAGCTGAGAGAGCTCCCGGGGTGGAGCAGGGGATCAGGGAACATTTCAGAGACTCCAGGAAAGAGCCAGAGGTGGGTGCTAGAATCTGCTAGAGAGGCAGGACTTGGGCTCACAGTGCTGGCCTGGGATGCTTTCATTGCACAGAAATTTAAAAATTTATTTCAAACATATATATATATCCTAATTTAAAAAGAAAAGGTCACAAAGACTCAGTCCCCATTGGCCAGCACCCCATGCTCAGA